GAAAACTGTGCATTTCTACAATTAGCATACGCTTAGAATAGCACAATGTGCAGCATTTTGCGCAATATGCAGTGTGCGGTTTTGAACGTGTGTGTGGTATAATGGGATGTTGTTGCCAGGGATCAACCAATCAGGATCTAGTATGCAAATTTTTCGAAGATAATTACGCATACCATCAATAATAAAAGTGTACAGGGTATGCCAATACTTGCATATGTATTGCATTATTTTGCGCACCCTAGTATTTTGGAGCCCTTTCATGTAACTTCAACTGTTCTATACACACTCTATTCACATGACATTGCTGCATTAGGCCTCAACTTTTCTTCTCCTTTCATTTTACATTTTTCTTTATTTTGGCACAGATCAGCGTTTCAGTGTTCAACTCCATCTAACCACTGCTACATGTACGTCATCAATGAATGACGTTAAGACAACGAAGTGATGACGACACCTTTTTCTTCCTGGCACCCCTCTCCATCCGGTCCTGAGGCAGCATTGATCCCGTCCGCACAGCAGCCAAAGGTGGAACTAGCACAGGTTGGGCCGGTAGTGGTGGATGGCGCTGAGGTAGGGGCTTCGGTTTCACTGAGATACCAAGAGGACAGGGAAAAAAACCACCAATGATTCATGGAAGGGGGGGGGAAGCTGTCTCTTAACATGCAAGCATGACAACCAGGATTTCTGATGACAAAAAGCAAGGGAACTCCCAACTGTAGAAGAGTTGGTGGTGTTTTCAATTTGTAACAGTGTTTTTTAAGTAAACTGAATGAGAATACTCAGTTGATCCAAGGAACGGTTGCAAGTCTGAAAATCTCGGCAAATTTTAGCTCAGATACATAAACGGCTGCCAGAAGTGAAATAACATTTTGCTTGACATCCAAAGGACGTTCTATAATTGAAAATTAATTAAATTTTATTCAAAAATTTCAATAATTTGGCAGATGATTTCTGAAGGGAAGACTGACCTGGTTGGACAGCCCTCTTGGTCAGGTCCAGTTGCCTCAGTAACTCCATCCTCACAACAGCCGTAGGTTGACCTGTTACAATCCTCTAAGAGCCAGTAAAAGTAAACTCGGTCAGCTACACCACACTAGATTGGCAATGTACAGGATTCTCCCCAAGAAACAAGGAAGCTTAAGAAAAAAGACAAAATATAACCTAGCCATTCCCACAATTGACCGTTATTACAGTTTTATCATGGTCTCTGGTCGTGCATTACCGACTTCATTCGTCTTGGAAATGGCGTGTGTGCACTATTTGGGATGGCTTGTGAAATCAACCCCCGATTATCAGTTTTGCCTGTGCATCATAACATTTTAGTAGAGTCTGGAATTCCAGCTATTTGTGTTAAATTATTCAATGTTTCCTTCAGCGAGTGTCCATAGTCATTACATTTGGAATACAAACCAAATTTGAAAGGGTTGTGAAATAAAGGTCACATGACCTTAAATGATTCCACCTTTCAATGAACCACAGACAAATGGAATTGTATGTCAAATCTGATTTTTAAAACAATGTTTCCTTAAGGGAGTGTCCATAGTCATTACATTTGGAATGCAAAACAAATTTGAAAGGAATGTGAAATAAAGGTCACATGACCTTAAACGATTCCACCTTTCTATGAACCACAGACAAATGGAAGTGTATGTCAAATCTGATTTTTAAACAATCAATGTCAGACACCTATAAACAGAGATATAAAAAGCCTTGCCTACCTTCTGAGCCATCGCAAGGCTGGGTGTTACAAATTTCTTGCTCGATTGGCCGGTTTGATGCATCACAGTGGGAGCTGTCCAACGAAGTCCCATCCTTGAAGCACATGATCTGCCGGGCCCTCTGGCCTCCCTCACACTTTGCTGAACACTGATCGAAGAATTAGAAGTAAATTAGTTATTAACGCCACAATGATCATTATGAAATTGCAGGCTGTAAATATTCCTCAGGAAAAAGACTAGGACAAATATGACTAGTAAAGACTTCTTACAGCATGACTTTCCCATCTTAATTTTCCAGATATAACTCAACTTGCAAAATGGTAAAATTCCTAGTTATGCTCAGTTGGAGTATACCTTCAACTTCAAAGTTAAAAGGGACATTTGATCTAAACCTGTTACATTATAATGGTTATTCTGGTAGTAATGTACTTTTAAAACAAAATTGGATCTGTATGCAAATTAACTGTTGGTACAGTATTTGTACCGTCAACCCAGAAGATAAAAAAAACTGGTATCTCATGGAACCTGTACATTGGCATTCCAATGACAAATTTTGGAAAGCTTTCAGAATTATCATGTTGAGTAAATACCAAAGTTACAGTACACTCACAAGGTGTGCTGCAAGGCTGCCCTAACACGCGGCACTCTTACCTTCTCCCAGGAACCAGTCAACCACACAGCCCCGACGCAAGGTCCGTTGTCGCAAACCTCCGAGGTGGACAGCTTGATGGTGGCGTTGCACGCGCCATCCGAAGTGGCTTCCCACTCGCCGTTCACAAAGTGAGCGCAGAAGACGTTCCGGATGCGCAGGCCCTGGCCGCAATCTGTGGAGCACTGAAGGAACAACCGCCCAAAAGAGCGTACACTAAAAATTTGCCAAAGAGGAAAACCGACCCCACATACATCTTGCCAGCATCAGCCCCAAATAAGGGATCAAGCAATTCTTGTAAACTATTTGAGTAGAGTTATACTGCAGTCACACGTTTAGTTGAACAATCAGTGCCGAGAAAGTTCACAATGGTGCCCTTCTTAATATGAAGATCAATTCTCTTTCAATGTGTGAGGTCCAAACCTAAAAATCTTTGGTGAGGTAAATATTCCTGGTACATGTATGTCTACTCAACCCCCCTCCCCAAAAAAGTTAATAGAAGGTCTGAACTCTGAGAAAGATCTCCTCATGTCCACTTAATAACAGAGTATCATTTGTAAATTTTGGGGATAATTTATGACAAACTTGACTGGTCATATTGGACCGAAAAAGAAGTCAATGAGGTGACAGGTTGCTTCAACTGGTGCCTTACCTCGGTCCAGCGGGAGGCGTGCCAGAGGGGGTGACAGGCCTGCCGAGAGGAACAGCGCTGTGTCGTGGCAGGACGCAGGTTGCCATCGCAGACATCCTCGGCATAAATGGTGCCCGAGGGCCCCATGCAGTGCACCTGCCTGGTCTGGACACCATCACCACACTGGTCAGAACACTGGAGGGGAGGGATTAGATGGCAAGACGCTAAGGTTTATGGCAAAGCAACAGCAAAACAGACAGAAGACTACAGTTTCAGCATGGGGACGAGACAGAAAATGCTTTTCCTTTTAGGTACTGAAGTTGTGGGTGGTGGTACAACAGGTGGGTCCCTTTTCCGAGCTTTGGCCATTCATTGCTTAACTACAACTGCAGTACATTAGGACAAAGTCATTTCCTGGGACTGGTTGCAAGGGATCTTGTGAAAAAAACTCACAGACCCAACCTGGGAATGCAAAAATGGGGAAACTTTTAAGAAAGAATTTCTGCCAAAGTTTGGAGAAATCAGCAGGCTCACAGAAACGTTGTATGCCTACATGTATTTATATGAATCAAGTGCAATGAATAGCTAGAGTCAGTTTATGCAATTGGACAAAGACTACCAGTACTTTTCAATGTGACCAGACTAAAAACCAAAACTAACACAGCAAACCAAATGTCCAAGCTAGATAATTACACTTTTACTACTTTAAACACTCCAACAGGCATGCTACCACAGTGGGGATAGGTCCTTTGTATGCTCGGTGTTAACCTCAATTAAAATGTCCCCGCCAAGGTGGCAGTGCAGTGTTGGGCATATCACTACATCAGCGCGACCATTCCCCACACTTATTCCCCCCCCCACCTGGGACAACCTTCGCCTGGTCCACAATTCCCCTCCCTGACCCGCAATCAACCGCAGACTCCCTCAGTGACTATAAAACTAATCAAAATACCTTTGTCTAGCTCCCAATGAATGCTAACTACATGTATCTTTCAACATCCACCTGTGAAGCAAGGCCCAAACTTGCCGGCATGCACTCCCTCAGTCACAAAAAAAGACGTATTCCCACCTACTCCAAATTCTCTCATGAAAAGCAAAAAAAAAAAAAATTGCCCCAGATGTTCTAGAAAACTCTCAGCGCACACACACAGGCAAACACACCCAGGTTGTTTGGATAAACCAACCAGCTGAGACGTGATCATGCATGTGGTTCACTCCTCAATGTTCCACCTCCTCCCAAATGAACTCTCCTCCACTTCATAATTTCTTCCTTTGCCTTCACCATGTATTCCCATTTTTATATAATTTTTTTCAAAACCAACTAACATTTTCCTTTCCCCACCTTTATTCTGCATTCCTATTTCTTCTGTACAATGTCAAAATCCAGTGCTTTTAATGAAAATCTTTTCAGTGGCATGTGGTGTCTGTTTAAAATTCATATTTTCTTTTCTGTAACTCACTAATATACATATAAATTGTTTTGACTGCGCAATACACTCTACTTGCTAATTTGCTGTGGGCAGTGATAAATACAGTTCAGCTATAACCAGTAATAAAAAGGTTTTCTTTTTAGTAAGAAACGGTCTCGAGGCAACTCACGTCAGACCACTGGGACACCAGCCACTGCACGTCCTCACAGGGCCCCATGTGACACACCTGCTGGCTGTTGGGCCTGATGTCGGCGAGACACTGTGAGTCGGCCAGGACCTCCTCCCCCGAGCTGCAGGAGACGGCTCGTGTCTGGACACCGCGCCCGCAGGTGACTGAGCACTAAAGGAGGGAAGTTAAGGGGGGGGGGTTGAAGGAGAAAGGGAGAGAAATGCATGCAGGGTAGGGCAAAGTGCAGCATCAAGTTGTGAAGTTAGTAGGCCATTATGAAAGATGATATTCGCGTAAAGCTGCAGTCCCTCAGGGGACCTGGAACCAAAAGTGCAACTCTTATACACTTGCTCTTCTCATATTTGTTGAGCGATATGAGATGGCCTACTGATGTTGCTTCTTATAGTTACCAGTGCCAATCAAAAAGACCTAGAGACTATGTTCCACTGACATTGATTAAGTGCTTAAGTAAATCAGGTTCCTTTTCTCTCTCTCTTCTCACTTTAAAGAAAAAAAAATCAACTTTTTCATTGACACGTTTCTTTCATTTAAAACCCGATTTTCATCAAATCTTTGGAACTGGCAGTGCGCACATACCAGTAAGTTACACCAGTTCTATAAAGAGCTGTAACAGCGTTAAATTGAAGGTTAACAGCGTTATTTATTCAAGTTCTCTCAAACACTTGTCCATGACGCAAAACTTCAGAAATGTGGCACAATATCTTATTTTTTTCCTGTTCAATGGCAACTGCCACGGCCATTTATTGCATTATGGGCTGAAATAATCTGTCACTGTCCCTCCCCACAGAAAATATTTCACAAGTTGGATATTAGCTTTCACCATCTTGCCATTTCAATGCACTATTAAGTACACAGAAAGTCTGCTGGGATGTACATCGGTTGATACAAACAACCTAGTTAGAATTAGCAGTGACCCTAAACTAGAACCCCATCCCCCTCAGCTGATGGTAAACTAATTTAAAGAACAGCTGCCAGACTGCTAGTCAGGCATTTAAAAATAAATTGTGCCACCCACCTGGGACCAGTTGCCAGCTGTCCATTCAGGGCAGGGCGCCGAGAAGCAGTGTTGCTGGTAGCTGGGCTTGTCTTCCAGGAGGCCGTTCTCGCAGAAGGAGTCGTGGATGATCTCAGCCCGGTCGCCGTGCATGACCTGCTCACAGTAGACCAGTCTGACCTGCTGGCCCAACCCGCAGGAGGTGGAACAAGGACTCCACTCACCGGCAAGCCAACTGAGGGGAAAGGGGGGGGGTTAGATTGGAAGGGGAGTAAATGAGACTGCAAACCCCCCCCAGGTTAACCTACTGTAATTTAAATAGAGGCCAACTCCCACAAAGTTGATTTAATCTCCATCTGCCTTTCACCTCTGCTACAGAAATCTCAGAAAACAACTCTAAGAGCTACCTAAGAAGTAGCACGGTCCTGAACCTGACAAAACTTTGGAGACCTCAACATGTCAGGCGCAGAATTTCTTTCTTGTTGGAGCAAAGTGAGAGAAACCACAGCCAGTGCTAACTGGTAGATACAAACTGCACTCGTACCTGATGACCTTCATGTTGATTATACAGGTGAAAGAATCAACAGTGAACTGGCCTTTTATCAATATTCCGCCAAACATGAACAAAGAACAGGAAACGGAAAAGAGAAGATTTCTGTCTTGAACTCCACCATCATCAGAGTGTGTGGTTGGACGCACAGCTAGTTCACGATGAACGGAGGTGGAATTTTATCACGTACCTGGGTGGGCAAGGCACCATGTTACAGGAATGATTCCCGGCTGGCTTCAAGGCAGGATCGCATAGGTATTCTGGCACTCTGACAAAATCACTGGATCGCGCGCACCAGACGTCACGAAGCTGATAACCTTTGACGATAGACAGAAAGTTAAGTCTCACAGGATGCTTTACCTTGTCAAACAGCTGTGAGGATGAAAGTCATCAACGGAGAAATCATGGTCTCTTTGTTGTGAAAAAGTTGGAGAAACACAACTTTAAAGAAAGTAAGGTGCATCCAGCTGAGTTTTTGCTCAGTTGTGACAAATTTACCAATATTAGAAAGTGTGATGTTTTATGCACTTGGAGTTATTTGTTATTTTATTAAACCAGTCACCATTGCATGAAGAACCTGTCAAGTTTAACAAGCCATGCCTTGTTGATGTTTGTTTCAAACAACTTGACCAACCTCCCTATTACTCATTCAGCACTGCAATTTACCCTGCCTTTCAAGGAAACAACCCTACCTTGACACCTTCATAATGAGGTATGCACCCCCAGCAAGGCTTTCGAAGGTCCAAAGGTGTCACAACAGTAACAAGCATTTTCTAAGCTTCTCTAGGACAGCAAGGTTGTGCTGGGTAGCCTAAGGGACGACTTAGGGGGGTGCCTAAGTTTTTGCCAAATGCTCATTTTAACAGCTACCTATTTTAGGCAGTGTCAAATGCATAATAATAATAATAATAGCTGGTTCTCACATAGCGTACATATCCATCACAACTGCTGCTCAAGGCGCTGTATTATCATTATCCCTGCACATTGGGCTCACAACAACTGAGCATTCCTGAAACCGTCTCAGCTCCCTGGGGAGTATACTACATGTAGCTGATGTTGCCTTATCAGGCACATGTGGCTAACATAACCAAATCTGCCCTCACAAGTACCCATTTACTCCTGAGTGGAGAGAGGCACATGGGAGGGGGGTAAAGTGACTTGCCAAAGGTCACGACATGCTGCCACCAGCTGGATTCGAACCCCCCACCCTATGATCAGAAGCTACAAACTCTCACCACTAGACCACACGCCCCACATGTACATGTATGTCCTTAATTTTTCTCACCAACTGCTCAGAATTATAGCCAACCTTGGTAAATATTTGCCATTTGGTGACACTGGCACCTAGCAGCTGGAACCCTTCACGTCATATCTTCAGTTGCCTCAAAGGATCAACTTAATGACATGATTTGGAAGGGCAGATCCTCCAAAATTCACTTAGGAGGACTCCTGAATAGGTTTTTTTTTCTGTCTTTGCCCCTGAAGAAATAAAACACAAAGCATTCCTCCTGGCCCAATCCAGAGGAATGTCACTGCTAGATATCGCCAATGCCAGGTGGTAAAGGGAGCAGGCCAGACATGGGGCTCATGATGGCTTTTTTGCACGGCTGCACTTTCTGCCTTTCCTGTCAAATGATTCATTTACGTCAAATCCCTCAAGGACGACAGGCTAAACCGATCAAGTTCGGGTTGCACGATCAAGTTCGGAGCAAAACGGGAGCCACCAAAGAGAATGTGTCAATTTATTATCCGCCAGTCTTTTTAAATTTAATGAAATATAATTCCTCCCAAGTGCAGTCATATCCTGCTTATACTGAAAGAATACAAATTTACCTGTAAACCTAAATGGGATATGACCACTCCTCTAACAAGTTGCCAACATATACTGTACAATTACAAGTTGGCATATTTCTTTTCTTGGATATACATGTATACCAACAAATGGACACATTTTTCTTAATGGCCACTGAGGTGTAGCATTTGATGATACATGTTGTTCCCTTGACACCTGCTCGCTGAAAATTATCTTTGGCGTCAAATCACTAAGCCACCAATCAAGTCATCACAACTTATGGAGCAGCTTCAAAAGTCACTCATTTCATAGAGCGTTGCATGGCCATGGCTCAGTTTGACATGTAGACAACAAATGGTGATTGAAAAAAATTGCATGAGTGACACCAACGTATTCAAAATTATGCAAGCAACCACAGAAACACAAATAACATGAATCACTCACATTATACAACAGGCGGTTGGGTCATTCTATAAATTAGGGGTCAAATTTTTTTGTGTGCCTGTCACATCTGACATACGGTATGATATGAAGTTCAAGACATTTTGCAATTTCCAAGAGTGATGAATTAATGCAAGTTATCTGCTAAACAAATGGAACAGTTTGCAATCATGTCAGTGACATTTCCATGTCAAATTACACAGGTCAGGTGTCACAGGGACACAAAACTGTCACACTTTTTGGCCCCTGAATTTACAGAATGACCCGATTCAGAGATAGACAACAGGGGCTGACATAAAATGACTGATGCTTAATCTTGGGGTTGAAAACGGAAATGGCGGATGTCAAAAGGAGGTCAACTGTTTTTGACATTTTGTTACAGCCCAGAAGAGAACTTTATTTCTAGTCGTAAATCTGTGCCATAAATTTGTACAAGTAAGTGAAGGCTGAAAATATCAAAATGTGACCAATCCAAGGAAATGAATCACAGGTCTGGCAATAAACTATGAGCAGACAGCCTAAAATTTAATATAACACTTTCGAAAATCAATTTTGTACCCAGTTGCTTTTTATTTTCTGACACAACTTTGCCATGCAACATCATCACTGAAATTTCTTTTGCGAGGGAATTCAGATTCTTCAAAGCTGGTCAAAATGGAGAGAAAAAGGGTACGAGGGCCGACAGTATGCTGAAAGCCGCATTGTACTGCATGCACTCAGCCCCCAAGACGTACTGGTACATGTACGCAGGAGTGCCAAGGGTAAAACAAGCGTGCACAGGTGGCGCATCAACTCTGAAAAAGGTACCGTTGCTAGGTAACAAATCAATCCCTCTTGTTTACGCATGGGAAATATCAGTTTGACTGCCTCCTCGTCTCACTGCATCGCCCATTCGTTCCATGTACAATTTCCTAAGTTACTAGTAGTAGTACATACATGTACATGTATGTACCTCGTGATTGGTGTCACTCGTACATCATATATTACCCTCACACATATCAGAACAAGACCTACCCCCGCCACAGGTCCTCGTGCAAGGCGTAAAGTCACTGAAGAGCCAGGAGTAGGTGTCCGGTTTAGCTCCCTCGCTGTCCAATGGCACAGAGTAATTGTACGCAACCCCGTGGTTTCTCTCTTGTGTGACCAGCTGTGAATAAACATACAAGCACGTCACAAAAGCTACTTTGGTTAAGCTTTCCACTGTCTTGGCCGATGGAGACTGTACGTATTAGTGCACGCTTGGTAGCAAAATATACACACAAAGCAGTGCAGTGTGTTTTGACAGGTTTTGTTGCAGGTACCCAGTACATGTACCTGTAGGTACGGATTTTCTGCGTAGCAGGGTAAATGTATGGTACCAAGAGTACTGTGATTGCTATTGAACACCTGAAGGCTGAAATGATGCATAAAGCATTTTGTCACAGTGCAAATATTCGGTATCTGGCTACTTGTCATGACTACGATGCATTCAGACATGAAACTTTTCTGTTGTTTGCAGAAGCAGAGGAGTGCCATTTTCACTGTGTTTCTAGACCAAGGTGCAGGAAATTCCTCTCCTGTAAAAATGATTTTACACACTGAAGTGAAAATTAGGCAAAATTGTACATGTACTCCGTAGAATCCATGCATACATGCGTGTGTTCAAATCAGTGCCATGGGCAATACACTGTACTAATGGAATACACTGTACTAATGGAAAGGCCGCACGCCACAAGTTGCACATACAGACAAATGTTGGATCTTATTATTACATAACTGTCAGGGTACAATGAAGCCACTCATAATACAATGTGCCACCAAGGGATTGCCACAGAGAGGCCATTTTTCAAGTTTCCAGTCAACAAAAATATGGCCGACGTGCCGTGCTTTGCATATCAGCAAATATCAGTAGACAACTTGGGGAATTTTGAAGTCTGATTGAGGCATTCTGTACAATGGAAAGGACTCCTTAAAACTGATATTTGATAAATCTACACTTGGAATCTTCTACCTGGACAAACAAATGTTAAGAACAATTCAAGTTTCACGCACGCAGGGGGAGAATGGAATTTGCCAGGAAACTTCTTGGGTGCACACATGTGTTGTGAACTACACGTACTGTAAAATTGTAAGAACGTTATCCCTTCAACTGATGACCGGGCGAACCCACAAATGTCATGTTTGATATCACAATGCAGACTGAATGGAAATTGAATGCACATGTGATCCTCCAAATAAAAAAAAAAGCATATATCCTGCTTTTTTAACGAGCAAGCCCATCTCAACACCAGAGTTCAACAAGTTGATCTTCGGTCCACAAGCGCAGACGAAAGTTGAGCCATGATGACAGATACCTCGGGTTCACCTGCCCTGCCCTGACAACAATCTCAATCCAATCACACTCAAAGAGCGTTTCTAGTTGGGATCTTGAGTGGCACTGGAGCGTAAGATGATCCCAATGTAACAATGTCAATGAGATATTGCATCCCCCTACTAGGGGGCCCTAGGCTCCATGGTAATTTGACACAGGTTTCTATTTCAGACAACAAGATTTGAGCGCTACACACAATCAATTCATCGGCCATATGTTGATCTGATATGGACAAAACACAGATTACTGGTATGCATGCTTTATCAAATTATGAGGCGTCCTTTTTTTATCCATGATAAAAACGCATTTAGTCCAAGTTTAAACTAGCAGGTTTTTTGGGGGGGGGAATACCATGCAAAAACTCTAAATGTTCAAGAGAATTTATCAATATTTGTAATCATTAAACAGATGGATAACATTCCAGTGTACATGTAATTTTTTCAGTTTATGTAACCATTTTTCATGGGTCTGTGAAATGTAAGATTTCACCACGCCTGAAGCGTTTTGTGCCTAAGGGGGAAGTTATCAATTGTCATAAATCGAATATGTCCGGCTCTTGTCTTGGATGACAAACTTGTTCCTTCCTGCGGGTGGGGGCCAGCATGATATCGCAAGACTTGCTTGACGACTCCCCGAAAACAAGAGCCAGCTTTCGCCTTCACGAGTTTCCGCAACAGCTGCCATACCTTCCTTAAATGTGATCCTAGTTTATGTTTAAGACTCCAAGAAATCAGCGTCCATTTTCAAAGTCTGGGGGCCATTTCTCATCTACCCACCTGTCCACCCGTTCCTGTGGACAGGCAAAAACAAATCTTTGATAGGCAGTTTTCTGATCCCCATTTGTTTTCCCACAAATCTTTATCACAAGCGAACAAATCTTCACATTTTCTTCAGAACACTGGGTAGAGTGGAAAAATGACCGCAAGTAGCCTCTAAGGGATTGAATTCCACAACATAACTGGGAGTGGATGGATAGTTTTTAACCTTGGCTGGAAAGAGACAGGTAGATATTGGTATTTCAATCCTAGATGAAACCCTGTAATGGGAGAAATCCATGGAGCATCCAGGGACTGTACATATAACAATGACAAGGCTAAAATGCTGTGAGATACCGGGGCTTTAAAGAACTTTTAAATAAGGAATGTGTTCTCTCAGAAACGCTATGCTAATCTTACAAAAGGCAAGCTAAAATGTCTCAAAATCCGACTGATTGAAACTCTAAGAAGCCACACTTTTTTGGCAAAAAAACACATCCCAGCAATTTCAATCTCATTTCATGGCTAATTATCTAAAGGCTTTGGGCAAAAGCCTCTTTACCAAACTGTGCAGCACACAAGTCAGGAACTTTTGCCTTAAGGCAAGAAATTCAGGCCCCTTGAATGATCAGTGTTCCCAGTGCCTAGCCTAATTGTGAAGCTAGGTACTATAAAATACCCTTCATCTGTACCGCGAAAAATCTGAAACTGGCACCAAAATGCCCTTTTGAAGTTCACCCTTTCAATACCAAAAGAGGTAAATGTTGGGAAAAGGCTTCAAATAATGCAACATCAAAGGTTTTGGAGGTAGATTGGCCACTCAGGAACCAGTATACATTATATTTATCTTCCGAAAATCAAAACGAAAGAAAAAAGAGCCAATTTCAGTCCACAACCAACAGGGCCAATTTCAGAAACATGAGAGGTTGAATTTTGTGTTTGTGTTGGGTTGACGATCTAACAGGGAGAAAGACACAGCAGGCAGGCATGAATAAGGATGACAGCACAGAACCTGTCAGTGTGGCAGGGATGCTGCTGCGGTCCTAAACCTGACCGTGGTCCAGCAGCACAGCACCATACACCGGCAGCTCCAACACAACACAAGCAGTCGCCGAGGCTTGCATCGCTTTTCTAAATTGGAAGTGCTTTTGCAGACACTGGTTATTTGTAGAAGCAATCCTCCAAAATCCTTGGCATATTACTTCTCTACGACAACCAGGAAGGTTTAAAATCTACCCTTAATGCGTTGTCCGGGAACGATCGAGTGGCATTATTGCATGGAAACCGCGAGACAAAGTCTCAATGTACATGTACGAGATTCCTGTCCAAGCTGTACAAGACCAGGGTATGTTTGATTTTGTGACAAAAACACAACCAATCATGCACTTAAACTTGATGTATGGAACAATCAACGTAGCAGTCAAGAATCGCCCGAGAACACTGCATTTTGAGAAAGCCTCTACTACAAGACTTGCACGTGAAGACGCACCGTGTTTACAGCCGTATCTCCCTGTGATGTTTGGGGGTCATCAGCATATCATTAATACATAATGAGTGTTTCTGAAATTGGCAAAAAAGGGACTTGTGGAAGCCCATTTCTTGGACTTTTTTCGATCATAAATGGGAGAACCGTTCCATTTTTTTTTCAGGTTAATTTTGGAAGATAGTCTCGTCACCTGTTGTTAAAAGGTTATAATTGGGGAAAGGCAGCTTTCTCTTCCCTACTTCTTTTAAGGACTGCTGTATGGTCAACTGTCAACATAAAAATAGTTGATGGTTTTTCCGATACATATTTACAAATTACTGCAATTTAATCATTATGTAATTAAAAAATGAGTACATTTTCAGCTACCTGCTGATTTTTAACAAATGGCTGGATTGTGAAACCAATAATTAATACTAGCAAACTGAGTTCCTGTTAGGCCTCAGACAATGTTTTAAAAAGAATTGAGCAATGCCTACCACAACAAACAGTGGCTCAGTGATGGGGCCGAGGGCACGCAAGGCTTCAGCTCCGTAAAATGGGGCGCCAAATTTCCTCTCATAGTAAACCACCGTGTCGGCCACTTCGAAGGGTTGGGGAAAGTCAATGGTGAAGTTGCCATTGATGTAGTACTGTCCATTTGCATTGCGCAGAGCTGGGAGGAGAAATAAACAAAAATGTCACCTGTAGTCTACGTTTTAGTTTTCTCAAAAGAAAGAGGCCCTCAGCACTTTTCTGTTGAAAAGAAAATCTGCTGTCATTTCCTAGCTCCAAAATGAGTGGTTCACAATAGTGCACCTCCAAGAGTTTGAAACGCGTTGGCCAATCAAATCTGTCCACCCTTTCCAAATGCGCATTGGGTTGACAAATTTCGCACACTGTGATTGGCCAACGCACTGCAAACTCTTGGAGACGTACTATTGCAAAATGCCCGTATTCTGCCCTCTCTTCGCATTGAGCTGTATAACTTGTTTTGGTAACTTGCTACTACACAAAAATTGCAGGAACCCCATTTTATGGTCTCAATGTCAAAACGTTTTTGGAGGTAAGATCAGCTTGTTCAAAATACATGTATGTATCGGTACATATAGTTGTTTATTTAAAAGCATGTATACCAGTAAATCAGATTTCCGATTTCCAGCACCAGTGCTGCCTTCTGAGGAAAAATTCTGCCAGCACCAGTGCTAGCAAAACCTTCCATACAGTGTAAAGAAAAATAGTGGATGGACCATAGATATTATTTTGTGAGGTGACAGGTAGTTTACAGAGTTGATGGAGGGAAGATTTGAAAGGGAACAAGGCTGAGGGGCAAACTATCAAAATCAGTGCTAGACGACCTGAAAGCTGGTAGAAGCTACCAGGGAGAGTTAGGTGACAGCATATCTGTGCTCGAAAGGAAGAACACTTATGATGAAAGTGTAAATCATTTTTAAATGTACATGTACATTCGCCAACCCAATTCCTAGAAGCACCAGGATATTCAATAAGAGGGTCCCATATATTTACATGTTGTAAACTGTCTTCTTTGAGTAAACGTCCCTGGTCTCCACTACTATTACACTTTCTAAAATTAAACAACTACATTTGCTTTATCATTGGTGGATCCAGGACTTCAATTGGGCTTGATTTTTTTTTTTTGGAAAGAATGAATGTCAAAACACTGCATTCAGCAGAGCAGCTCGGGAATTCCCAGGTGGCGGAGGGATGTCAACTTTTCAAGTTAACAAGCCCTGATTGAGTTTGTGTTCATATCACATCCACTGCAAAAATGAGGCCTCATCTGCCCTAACATGATCCACACCTACCAGAGCATGTACTAAACCTATCAGTCACCCAAGAAAATAATGCTGACAAGTCAGTAATGAAACTTGCCGGTATGCATCTCACTCTTCCATTATTAAAGCCCAAGGTTAGATCGAAACCGCACAAGCCTGGATGCACGCTTCCAGGCTCTACATTCCATTCAACACAACAGGTGGCAAGATAATCACCCATTACAATGTCAAGTTCAAGCTGACAGGCATTGGCTATTTTTATCCCGTTGCCGATGGCGTAACTCTTACTGTTGTATTAATCACTACTTAAATGGATCGCCCACAAACGGAAAAACTGTGGCGGGCTAGTTTCAGTAAAACTTCAAATTTTACATTGTAGCGTGCAGAACATGTCCTTCAGAGATCTCGCAACAGATGAAAAAAACACCCCCACAACAGCAATCTCATGGACTTTTATAACCATAGTGTTTCAAGCAGCATGTGTTTTGTTGATTATGCTGTGATTATTTAAGTGTAAAAGACATAAGCTGCAGACTTTGGAGGAAATCGGTTACAGATAAAACCAGACAGCAAGGTAATGCTTGTTGTTTGGGGAGTTTCTTCCCCACAAACCAAGTCCCGCCTCAGTCATTAAGCCTCTCTGATATTGCTCCAAATGGGTCTTTCAATGATTCAGGAACTTACTGGGATTCTGAAGCAGATCGTCAAACTTTTCATTGAACTGAAAATGTCCATTTCTAACACAATTCCAAGTACTTTATCAATAACCTGATGAACGTAACTTCGTGCAAAAATTTTTAAAAATGCAAACGTCCGAAAGACACAGAGACAATTCTTTAACTGAGGTTTTCTTGGAATTTTTTAAACTTCCTCTCATTTTACAGTACAGACAAAGCTGTGCTTTTTTGCCAAATTCCTGAGTTCATACTGGTAGTAACTTCTCTTAATTGACTCTTATCACAAAGGGCAGGTCTGTAATGTGTACATGTACCTATGCTGGTACACCTGCTGTATAACACTGTGTTTAGCACATTATATATCCAAGGACTAGTTTCAACAAAAGATCTTAAGCACAAGAATGAGTCCTTGGTTGTTTCCTTGAGTTGCTGTCCTCAGTCAGAATATAACATGATTCCCCCCACACAAATACGTTTACATGCATGCAAAATTATTTACCTTACGCGGAAATTCCTTTGCTTTGTTTCTCAAAGAAATCTCAGTGAAAATACTAAATTTCCTTGCACTGGGAACACTCCTTTCAGCTGGATTTGTGAGTGTTTCCTCAACTGCTCGCCTTCCTGTTGCTATGAATAACCCTAACCCCAAACTGTTTTTCAGACAGTTGGTGACCTTTATGTGGACCTGGCTTGGTCCACACAAGGCTCACACACCTTGCATTATGTGGACCCCTTCACCTTCAATCATGGACCACCTATTTGTCGTCCTACCTAATATTCCTACGCAACGCTTTGCAAGAGGCTGCCAGAGCATCCGAGCATGGTTTTGCAATCACAGACCCTCATCCAACCGTGGACTCTCTACTGTCCGTTTTTGTGTTCCAAACCCACAAATTGAATATGTAGTGTACAGGCATATACGCCAGCACAGTGCATGGATGTGTATTTTTGTTGCAGACTCATTCTTTGAGATCACAAAACACAGTATGATTGAAACGTGAAAGGGCTGGGGCTAGGCAAATCTGCAGCTTGCGTTGGCCCTCTAGCAAAGTAGAAACAAAAATATGGGAAATTGTTGAGAAATTCAACTGACCCAAGAAGTTATTGGATGGCTGGACCTCAGCAACATGAATGTTCACGGCGCCAGCTGGTAGCACAAGGATGTCATTGTAACCTAAAAATGAAGAAAAGAATCAAGCAGAGAATCAGGTCTTGGGAAGACACTCCAGACATAAAGTACTCCTTCATTGGTGAAAAATTAGACAGTGTGGCTCTCTCTCCTTCGGGCATTCCGTTCACTGCTTGGGTGAACACATTAAAGTTGGGTACACATGCGCAAAACGATACAACAGTGTAAAATGGTAGAGTTTCGAGAAAGTTTGTTTTCAAATTTTCAACAACTGTCACGGCACATACTTCAACGGTTATTGAGGAACAAACCTGGAAGTTTTGATGAAGCTCATGAACTCAACTTTTTCAGTTGGTTCCCTCAAACGATTTCTTTTAACACCCTTTAAACTTTGGAATGGCTTTCGTGAAACAAGCAACCTTCTTTGGACATGTTTCAACGACAATGTTTATGGACAGCCTACCAAATGGCAGCTTCTTCCGCCCGAAGGCCCCGCTGATCGTCTTGCACGAGGAGCCGTTTCCGTTGCACTCGCGGCAAATGTCCTCCCGAGCGTCGGAGCCAAGCATGTTGTCGCAGCCCACTTTCTGCAAGAAAGCAAATTGCAAGAAAACGCTGGGGAAAAATGGATGGCGATGAATGTGCAGGGCAGCTGTTCAGTATTTGCTGAAAGATGCAGAAGGAAATAAGAATCAACAGAGCTGACTGTTCAAATGAAATTGATTAAGTCATATTATACAATACCCCCATAAATCCTTGTCACGCGATTGGTGAATTACAGATCATATGACATAAAATACTCCAACCAATATATGGCATAAAGTGCATGCCCAAAGAATGTAACATAATCATGTGCAAAGCCATGTGTCATAGTACGGGTACGTTTTACCCATATTTGACTGCAGACTGGCACTATGAATGATTTTGCTGTAGATGGCGCTATAACCTTGAACTTACATGTACCAAGATGTTTACACATATAAACCTTTGAAATTTCAAAATGACTCAGTTTGACAGGAGTGAAAGTTGTGAAATAAGTCCATTACTTACTATAAATAGTTGAACAGTTTCGATATAAATACACAATTGAAACTCAAACACCAATAATAAGAGCACCGTTAACCCCTTCGCGCCGGGAATTTTTTCTGAAAGCCGACTCCAAGAATTCCAGCCTCACTTGGCCACGAAGGCCACCTGCCAAACTGCAAATTCTCGGTTTGAGGCCCTGCATGCTCTGCACTCTTTGAATTATGCGGTGAAAAGGCTGATTGTTCGGTGGCATGCGGCTCTACTCACGCTTCCACATTCCCGTTGCCTCTTTTCAAAGTGGGGACTATTGTAAAGCTGGTGATTATGATGCAAATTCGGTCTTTTCATTTCTAGGCTACACACAATGACCAATTACCATATATACAAGAGCCAGGGTCTGCCTTCTTTCACCGTGTTCGCTCGAGCGGGGGCCGAGAATAATAGCTGAAAAGCGGGCCGAGGATCTCAATTTTTACGGTGTATCTAGCCGCGTCCTGGCGCGAAGGGGTATTACATGCAAAACGTCCCCCTTGTAAAAGAAGATAAATTTTAGGTCCCAAGTCTTTGTGTTCTTAGCCTCCCAATACTGAAAATACAATGTCCCTGTTATAACGAGGTAATCTGTCAAGTCCCAATGACCTTTTAATATATGAAGGTATTCAACTATACTTTGGAGTTGGCAAGATGCCACTCAAATGACAATATTTCAGTCAATGTTACAACACACAAAAAATGTTTAACTTTAATGCAATGGAAAGAAAACATGACATTTCAAGATGACCCCGGTCCATTGCACTTATAAATATTCATTGTTTGTATGCCGATATGCATGTATACTGGACTCCAAATAAAATGCTGACACATCATTTCTGATTGCTATTTTTAGCACTTCTAAATGTTCCTTCAATAGCAAATATTACAGAATACCTTCAAGCCACATACTTTTACTGTTTCAGATTACTATCCCTAGAAAGAAGTCAAGTCCCCATACCTGGTGAAAACCTGCACATAGCCAGACAGTTTGATTGGTAGCAGGCCCTCGCATTCATGCAAAGGTCATCAGTTTGAATTCTGCCCCTCCAACTTTCTTGGCTCAACTGAAAATCTAATCAACCTACCTCCCTTTGCATGACATACCGGTACATGAGGGCCAACAGCTATAAGTGTTCCTTTTTGAACCTAAAAAATATGTCTACCTCACTTTGTGTAAACCTAAACCAATGGTGTAATCAATCCTCACTTTTATGGGGCTTCTAGCGCCATAATCAACGTATTAGTTATGCCTAAACTTCCTTGATACATTTTCAGTAAAATCCTCTTAAACCCCTTGTGGATTTGAGAAAGGGGGGGAAGTCTTGGTCATTTACAATTTAAATTGAATGACAAAAGTCCATGAAAATGTGCAACTAAAGATAACTTTTTAGCTTTCTCAAACACGCATCACTATTTCTGCTTGATGTGTCCACACTTCGAATACTTTCATTTATTGCCCAAATTTTAACTAAGTTTCCTTTGTAACCTATCCTAACAATTTGAAAAGTATAATCCCGTCTTTGTTCCACCTATCATAAAATAGTACTTCCTATGTCCACCTGTATCTCCACTGCCCCCTACAGAGGCTTTAGACATTCTTTTTAAGACTGGATTTGCAACAGAACCTCCAACAACATGACCTTTGGCCAAATTGTTGTGGCTGCGGTTTGTCGCCCACAAAAGACACCCAGGAGCAAATTTGCTTGAACTGATCATATCAAGTGTCATCATAAAAACCCTTGATGTCTCATTAATTTTTTTTTTTCTCGAAAGACAGAAACTGTCATCGGGGAAAAAAACACTGCATTGCAATGAGGTGAGTAATGGTTTTTTTTTTCCTGTGTGGCCACAGGGGGACCCTTTGGGCCCTGGTGGTCAGAGAGGTATTTATCAAACAAATCCAGTGGTTGGCGATAACGCCCACCCCATCATTTGAATCAACTTGCACTCACTGGGAGCATGAAGCTAATATTATAAAACTGTAGGCACAAGTCAATCATACTTTATTGGTTGTCAGTAAATATGAGTAATCAGCATGTAAACAAAACTCTTGAAAAAGACACTCCCTCCCTATCTTTTGTTTAAACTTCCCTAACACTCGGACTTCAAAAGAGTGGGGGGGGGCTCAGAACAAGCAATGGCCCCCCCCCCACATGTGCAGTGCTGAGGAATATTACATGTACATGTACATTGTTTACAGAGGGCAAAAGTGTGCATTCCACAACCACAAACCAATTCATGCATGGCACTGTCTAACAATTATCTGATTTCAGACGTACATGTACTTATCGATAGTACTTAAAGCACAATACCACACAAACGTGAGATGCACAGGGACATGCTTGTGTGAGGGAACAATACAGGAAAAAACCTCAGTCAGTGATGTGCCCTCAGATAAAACGTCATTCACATGCAGTGCATCCAATGCAACATAGACTCAAGATGTAAATGTACAAAACGGCCCATTATGTGTGAACTCCAGAGCGTAAACATTTGCGGGTCGAGGTCAGCCAGAATTTTTTAAAAATTGCCACCTTACCCCAGTGCATGAGCATGATTCAAATATACATGTACATTGGCAAAGACACACAAATGGGCAAATACACATTATAATTATGAAGGAGCTTCCAATTACTTGAAACTAAAAACAGTAGCTGTCATCCTATTGAACTGTACATGTAGGTTGCATCTGGCTCCAGCAATTGTGTAGTTACCAAGAAAACATGGGTTTTGCACGTGTTATGTTTGAATCATTGTCTGGCAAAATGATCATTGAAAAAATGGTTTGTTTTAAATCTGTAGAGGGCATCACGCAGTGCCCTTGTGTGCACTGTTTACCCGCTCAGGAATGTGGTCCATGGGTGTTGTGTGAAACACATCAAGCAATTAGTTAGGCTTTGCTGTAAGCAGACATCAGTTTGCTTTGTTTCTCTCACAACAGTGATGAATGTACAGTGTAGAATTTCCTGGTTCACAAGGCATATGTTGTACTGCAAGTGTGATGTGCGGGTGACCACTTGGAACAACTGAGTACTCAAATTTGCTGAGCACATTAAATATTTGTTTAGTAGAAACAAAATGGCATGCCGTGTATTTGTGTATTCAATGTCTTTGAATGGTTATCAGCTGAGCTTTTGGGAGGGGGTGGTCAAGTTTCCTTTTTTGTTTCATTTTGGTTGGTACTTGTTCTGCCTTAAGCACCCTTTGGAAAATCTGCCAAGCGAGACAAAGCTCAGTGAAACAACATCTTGGCCACTAGAGTGTTACTACATGAATGAGACTGAGTGAGGAGCACACTTGACTAGCCAGTGTCTCTACCTTTAAAAACCTTTACCGGCGCGGGCAGTAAGGCCATAATAGTTTGGGCCAACAGGACAGAGACTGGTTTGTGTGTCTACGGAATGGGACCTCAAGGAGACAAATATGTGGCGAGTTTACAACTTTTTGGCTGCTGACCATCTGTGGGCGTCTGGAACCCCAGAGCCTATGATCCTTGAACAAGACATTTAACCCTGCTTGACACCTCACCCACAAGGAGAACAAACAAATACCAGCATGAGACACTGGATCTACTCAAGGGCAGTTAAAATATAGCTACTGGGTCGTGTAATGCCAAGGATAGTGCAAGCGATCTTGCTTATATGCAAAAAGTACCCGTTGGAGAAATGACCACTGAAGCGCTTTCAAGAGAAAACTACAAGCTACTGCTACACAAAGGAGGAAAGTTTTGAAATTTTGAATACTCGTATTTAGAGATTTGTAGATTTAGAAAAATTTTTTTGGGGGGGACCCACCAGTATATGTACATGAAGTCTTAAGGCTGTGTTGTAAATCTTGCCTATAGACGAGAACTTCAGCCTCTCTCACACTTGTGCTGTGCATGTCTTGATGTGGCATTTTTTATTTTTGACATGTATTTCATATATGTATAAATATAACTGGGGGTCTCTACTCTACAAGCTGTGCTTCTTAGAGGCCTCCGTCCACTACAGCACTGTATTGCTCATATGAAATATTTCCTACAGAAAATATATAACATAAAATCGAAGTGAAGTGATACCTACCATGCATTCACCATTCACACACACATCCAGCTTGTCCGCTTCACATCTCGTTCCATCGACAACTTTCTCAGCGAGCCGATAGTAGAAGTTCTTCCCTTTTGGCATGCAGTTGAGCTCACATTTGTTATCGGCTGAAGAAATGTACATAAGAAACAGCAATATACACCAGGTTGTAAGAGGGCAGAACTTGCAGCAAGATTCAAGTTAATTTGTCATTTGGATCACAGCGACTCATTTCAAACTTTTAAAAAAATTCAGTTCTGCTATCAACAATGTTTCCTCAACAGAAAAGGAAAAAAGATTACTTAGAGTTTGAAAAATTAGAGAAAAATACCAAAAAAGCCTCACTGAAACTTTGTTGAAACTAAGAAGGCTACATGTACATGAAAGCAAGCAATTCACTGCTATGTTTCAAGCTGTTCCCGTCAACCGAAATCTAACCATTTGCTTTCAAAACATCTGGCTTACACATACACTGGAAAGGCAACCACTGTAACCCCCCCCATTCAAATAACATTTTATAGTAATAGATGTACAGGTGCTGTTTTGCCACTGGAAAGTTTAACAGAGGTAAACTCATACACAGTTTGTCTTGACATCTGGAATTTTTCGGGGCTTCCAAATGGCCATGAAATTTGATTTATTATCCTTAAGGGCTTGCAAGAAGAGAGTAGCTGAGAGGAGGGTGGGGTGTGTCCTCGGGTGAACTTTGACACAACGTTTGACAAACTTGGCAATTTTCATTGCCTGTTTAGTCACAGAGATTGTAAAAATGAGTGACACCTGGAATGCATGAAATTATGCGGCCCTTGAGACCCTTTAGATGTTTGCACGGATGACTGATTCTCTTAAGATTTATATCAGCATCTGATATACTGGCACCCACTTAGACATCCTTGTTCACAAAACCGACAAGTTGGGATGCAATCAGCCATGGGCTACATTTTTTTGGGAAGGAGGGCTCTAAAGATATTACAATTAAGCCGAGGATCTGAGTTTCCAAAAAAATTTCTCTTCAGATTTCAAGGAAAAGAGGGAACATTTGAAATTTCAGAACTTTTCTTTTAGAAAAGATTTGTCCAAAGTGCCATAGAAATACTGGAAAACAATGGGCCACTCTACTGTTTCAAGATAACATTGTCAGTTTACTGAGAATAGTAAATTGAAATCTTCATTCAGAAAGGTGTTGGGTGGAGGGATGTGAAGGTCAGCCTGAAGCACGCTGTAAATGTTTATGAAGAATTCAGAGCTGTAGTCACCAAGTAAAAAAAAAGATGGGAATCGGCAAAGGAAATTATCAAACCAAGCGCAATTATTGACCCAGCTCATTGCGTTTCACTTGTTTCAACTGGTGGGAAAATAACAGTCACCAACAGTCAGCTGGTCCCCTGACGGACCAGGACAGACAATGGAAGCAGACAAGCAAGTAAAGGCCAATCAAAAAAGGATGTCTGGCTGAATACCGTCCACCCCAAAACAAGCCTCTTGTGGTTTCTATTGTGCCCCCGTCAAAACCTCACACATCTTGCGGGAGTCTTCCTTTTGATATGACGGTGCATTTTATAACCTGCTTACGGTAAAAAAAAAAATTGAAAAACCAGGGTCCCACACTGTTGAAAGAAGAATGAATTTCCCTCTTGAAAACAGGATGTCTGGATTATTGACCAATCAATGCGAACTACATGTACACTGCGGTGTAATTGGCGAGTAGAGTTGGTATTGTTTGATATTGATCAAGACTGAAGTCACATATTGTTGGGGGTTCCGTTACTTACTCTTTCCATCATTTATCTAATATTGATCGTGAACTGACCTCCCCTGGGCTGTTCTGAGTGGCAGATGAGTCATGGATTATCTGGGCAATGACACCATACCCTGATCTTCATTTCAGGTGAACTTTCCAAGAATAAAAATGAGGCTTATCAAATTCTTGATTAGCTAACCACTGCAGTCACACTGAAATGACTGCACATCTAGCTGCTGTCGGTAGCCACCAGTTTCTATGCATCTTCCTTTTTTATAAAAAACAGCTCAATGTTTCAAAGTCCACAAATAAAGCTAATTATTTCTAAGAAAATACTGTGTCATTGGCCGTTTTACATTTCCACTTAAAAGTATCAAAGATCTTGCTCAATACATGTATATAGACAACATTCTGGACAATCAGCACTTTCTACCAAGAAAAACTAGCCCTTAAAATTCCCTTTGCATTGTACAAAGCATTAATTTGAATTTATTGTTTATGGAAGTAGGTTTTCGAAGGTGAGAGATTACTTCACTGGAAAAAAACCATGATTTTGAGAACTACAGCAACTTAGTCAAAAGTTGAGAAACAACCTGGGCCCACCAGGGAAATAAAGTACCCCTTAGGAGTTTATAACAAGACATAAAGTACGCAAGTGGAAAAGCATCCAACATTCTGCATGCAGCGATCAGAAACGTAGAGTTTGTCCTCAACTGTACCGTACGTAGGTGAATTCCTTTCTCCCATTTTGCAAAGTCACGCCCCATGTTAGCAAGTTGCGATTATCAGCGAGTGAGATGCACTTGAGGGAAATGGACTTAATCAGACTTTCCTTCTGGAAGCTAACTAGCAAACTGGAGAGCCACTACTACATGCTACATCCGCCAAGTGTACCAGGCTCAAGTCTCCACTAATGGAGGGGCATGCAAGAAAAAAAGGCAATGTCACAATGAGACAAGGCATAAACCACTGCCCTCAAAACTTCTTTCGGCACACGTTAGGCTCTGATCGACGCCATTCCTCATAAATGTTCTAGGGGAATAAATCCGATGCAGCACATGCCAGGGCGCTGTCAGCTTGGTAAAACTCTTAATTTCATGTTTTAAGCCTTGAGTAAAGAGTTGAATATGGTTCAATTCAATAATCATTCAGTTCGGCTGATGAGAAATGGCAATGCCATTGATGTCAATACTCAAGGTTACAGCTGCAAGTCGTCACTGTCACCCTCTGGTGAATGTTTAAAATTTTAGGCTATTTTCCAGAGCCAAAACAAAACAAAACAAAACAAAAATGTATTTAGCACTGCACAAAACAAGCAGGTGGTTGCAAAAAATGTACATTCGTATTAGCTGGACCTTTTGACCAGTGTTTAAAATTTGCCTGCTGGAACCCCTCGTTTTATGTATTAATCCCCAGTCTTGAAATGGTTTCATTCTGGTCGTGGTTACTTCCAGTACCGGTACTTCCAGAAAATAATAGAATGAAAAACTTTCTTTGTTTTATTTTCCCAAGCCTCTCACTTCATAAAGTTCCCAGAAAAAAATTAACTTGAACAAAACATGCAGGCCATTTTCAGAAAATCAAAAATGTTCATGTACATGTAGGCCTATATGCAGCTGACTCACGAGGGCCTACATTGGTTGATTATGATTTGCTTCATGTTCATACAAGATGGCCAAGGGCATCTTTGCACCTGTCATAAATCCATGGGCCTGAGTTGGCAAGACTGACGCATTGGAATCTGATGCACCAAATCACAGGTTAAAAAAATGGTTTCGGGCCACAAGTGAAGGTATTGGTCGCATGCATCTACCCCACCTGTGGTCTGGTATTTTATGTCAGGAACAAAAACCAAGTACAGTGGGCAAAGACAATATACAGTAAGTAACATGTAGCTTGTGCGATGTCGGTGACGGGAGACCAACAGCTCTGACATTCTGTCCATCAAGTCAATTTATTTCAGGATTGAACCCCTAAAGACTCCGTGCATATTAAGTTTCAAGGCTCGTGGCAAAATCGAAACTAATGCTTGTAGTTTGAGAACAAATTTTATTCTTGTTTTTATTTTCCTTACCATGGTAGTGATTTTTTTCAGTTGAAAAAATGTTCTGTGGTTAAAATATACTAAAATGGATGAAATTCATCCAACTCCTTCGTAATAAATGGTATATAAACTACTCGTCTTTAATGTTGGGGACGAAATGCCTTATCTTGATTCTTGAAAAATGTTTCCTTCCGTGAAGGGGGTGCGTATCGCAAGTCCGACGCCTCATCGGTCCGACGCCTGAAAAGTCCGTACTTTCGGACTTAAGAGGCGTCAGATTTATGGGCAATTTTTTTTTTCACCCTCATACATGTAGTTCCGACGCTTCAAAGGTCCCATGCCTCATATATCTGACGTCGGACCAACAAGGTGTCAGACTTAATATGAGGCATCAGTGAGATCGACTGTGAAACATCTCGCGAGTGAGATTCGCGAGTGAGATTCAACTTTGTTCCCAACTCGTGCCCACGGTACTGACCCTGTTAGGAAAACCAAATCAAGCAGTCTACCTGTACAGTTCGTACACTGGTCCACTATTTTTTTAAATCCAAAATATCACTTTGTGTAAGAACTATGTATGATAATTCTTTTGAAATCTTACAAATGTTTGTATGTGTGTCAGACATAGTGCACCATATTTGACACTGGGTACAAGTCTTGTTCCTAGCGCAGCATTCATACGCTTGTAAAGAGCGTCAAATCAAACGTCGGACTTTCGAGGCATCCAGATTTTTTGAGGCATTGGATCTATGCCATGGGCCGAATAAACCGTTGGAACTTTTAAACGCATTTGTTGGACTTACGAGGCATCGGACCTGCTTGAGAACGCTTGCATAATTAATTTGCATTTTCCAGGGGTGTGAGTGGCCAGATAAAATAAGAACTGAAAACAGCTAGCAAAAGCTTAAATGTTAAAACTTTCAATACTTTTGAACAGACCAGGTGTAAAAAAAGCTGAAATCCAGGGTCAACATCTAAACAAAAACAGCTGAAATCAGCTAAAAAGCTGAATTTTCACACCCCTGATTTTTCCTTAATGACCACTTTGTGCGAGTGCAAAAAGATCTGGAAGACACTGCTACAAAGGAAAAACATTCTTCAAACACTGCATCAGAGAGGCTTTCCAAAAACATACGAATTCAGCAACATGGCAAGAGCTACAATTAAATCAAATTTGCCATGTGTCTCAACCTTACCGAACAATTCAACATGTTTTTAGCCTAACGCTGAGTAAACTTTTAACATGCGCTCTCCAGAAAGGGTGGAAAATGCTTGTTTGGAGCCCCTAACAATTCTAATGACAACAATAGTAATTTCCAGCAACTTTTTTCTAACTCCAGGCTGCCAGAGGGGAAATCGGCTGATTCAATTTCTGGGGTGAAGTGGAAAGAGATGATTGTTGAGCAAATAAGCTTTCCCCTTTATGCGGCCGTGCCTGCCGTGCGCCCTTCATGCGCACTTCCTGACTGGCGGTGTTTATGGATACCCGGGCAGGAAGGAAACTATTCAGCCCTTGGTTGATCCACCAATTGCCAATTACAACAACAGCCTCTTAATTGTTTTTAGTATCATTAATTGGCCTGAGGTTTTTGTTCCTGATGTTCAATGGCTTATGCTCATGTAACACCGAGGTCACAGTTATGCCTAGCACGATACAACCTTGAACCAAAATTTAAACAACATGATTGGGGCTCTCATATAAGCATGATAAGGTCACCAGTACATGCCGCTTTGATAAGATGATTTAAGTGGCAGCTCCAAAAAACTCAACAGACATCTGGCATACTGAGTACATTGAAGAGTTCACTGTTGTAGGTTGTTTCCAGGTGGGTGGTAGGCCTATTCTTTCAAAGTACAGAGATGAAACATGGTTTCAATTCTATGCACTGGCTTTGAGACAATGACGAGAAGCATTTAATTTTTCATAGTCTGCCTTTGAAGGACTCATGTATTAAAACCAGTACCAGAAACAAGCAGGCAGAAATTTCTCAGCCGGCAGGCAAGGGCCAAACAAGTCCATGTACATCCTGAAGGTTGAGAAACCTGGTGTGTTTTCTTCCCAAATCCAGATATTAATTTACAGTAATAGCTGCAGTCTGTCAGAAATGATGTCTTGTTTGGCATTCACTTCAAAAAAAAAAAAAAACTTCTCTCTCTTTTTGTTACCTCCAAGATACGGGACCCAATTGTAGAAGTTCCCCAGGAATTCCTTGGTGTTGTACTTGCTGCACTGCTCCTCACGGAAATCCTGAGCACCTTCAGGACAGTCCTGGATGTTGCAGGAGCGATAGTTGAAGGCTGGCCCCATGCACGTTGGCTTCGCCCCTGGCCTGCTCGATTAAAAATCAACGGTACCGGTGCATTTCTGTAAACTGAGGAAAGGCTCGATGGAAATACTGTCTCTTTAATGAGCAACTGAAAGGAAAACATGTTTTCTCAGATTTTATCTGTTCAAATAAATATGGAAGCATCCAGATCGAACACAGTGTCATTTGTCTTCAGAGCTCAACTATGTCCTTCGAAGAGGAATGGAATATGGTGAATAGCTATTTCCTTTGGGCAAACCACAGTAAAACGCATCTGACATTGATTTCTTTCTCAGTAGTGAAGTAGTATCATCTATTCTGTAAAATGTGACTGACGGAAGTAATATTGAAAATCACATGCAAAGTTGCTAGAGTTCGATCAATTTCACGGTTTCAAGGAACTCAAGTATACATGTCCAGGCCAATGTAAGAGAAAACTGCTCAAGAATACGATCAAACTTTGCGAACTATAATGCGACATTCTATCAGCATCAAAGCCCAAGTTTTCACAATTTTCGTCAAGCTTTTCCGGCTCACAGTCCCCCATGTTTAGCACCCTCAGGACTATCTCAAACTAGCCAGAGCAGCCTAGAGAATAGAAATTACAATTTGTATTTGCCTTTGTACTGGCTGGGGTCTGAGGCAGGATAAATGAACAGTTTGTTCCTTGATTCCCAATACAACGTGTATGTGTGTACAAATTTTAAGTAAAGCTGCAGGGCAAGGAATGGTCCAACCATGGTCCAACAGAACTGTGTATACAAAAAAAAATTCATCAGAAATTCTTCCAACATGCACATGGATTGAACTTGAAGATACATCCAATGATCTGTTTTCCAGGCTCAGGAATGAGGACAGGAGTTACCTTGTGGTTATGCATCTTCTCTCCTGGTAAGAAACGCCCCCTCCACAGGACCGCGAACAGGGGCTCCATTCACTGCTCCATGGACCCCACGTGTCTTCTGCAACAGGAGCCTGCCTAGCTGAACGCTGTAAAAGAAAGACCAGGCACAAAAGAATGAGAAAAGCCAGACACTACCTCCTTCGCCTGCTGTAAGCATACATGCACTGATCAAGCTCAGCAACTGTTGTCCTTTTCCCTGAATTTCCAAATGCAAGAACTGACTGACATGTAACTTCATCGTTTCTTATTATAGCCCTCCCGAGTCAAAAAAGGGGGACGTCAGTTACGAAAACTAAAACAGACTGTGATAAGAAAGCCTCACATTTTTAAAGGCAGCCACATAAAGAACGAATACTTGCCTTCTGTGGCAGCGTGGTTCTAACACAACCCATCATATAATTCACCCACACAAATTTCATTTCCGTACAATCAAGGAGCATTTTCCTGAAAATTACAGACAAATTGCTACAAATTTGAAATACTTTCTGAGAAGCATCTAAACTGTTTCAAAAATGTACATGTATCACATTCTCATCTTTCCATTTGACTTCCAAATAATGCTCAATTGTCTGACTGTCTACATGTGGCTAGACAACAAACAGGTGCATCTTTGTTATCAACCTTTGTTAACTCTAAATGCCTGGGAGGGCTGTAGAGGAACTTGCGTGTATTGTGCATTGTAACTAACAGAGAAATTCCACGTGAAAAATGCACAGTATGAACCATTCAAGCTTAGCAATGGGTAAGGAAACAAGGTGCCTTTTCTTCTTCTCCATGGTTGATTGCCGTGGGGGGGGTATGTTTAGCACCAGTATATGGATAGTTCCTGACCAAAACCAGTGGCCTGCATTCCGGGTGCCAGTCTTTCCCACTGGGATAAAACAAAGGTTTCATTTTCCAGACTGGTCCAGGCATGGTCCAGGGAAGACTTGTCTATTAATAGCCCCCATCCACGGACTTCCCCCCAGGCCTGAGTCACCCTTCAGCTATTTCCTGGGGGAGGGGGGTATCGATTGATGACTAAGGCCACAGGTATACACCAACACTGGATCATTATGCAAGGAGCAAACAAACAAATGGTCTATTTGTGGCAGTGTAGGTTGCACAGTGGGATGGAACCATCCACTGGTGCCACTGGTCAGAACACGCCGACACTGAGAGTTTAGGTGAAAGAATACAGGGGATCACAGCTGGTGGGGTTGGCATTTGCTGACAAGTAGGGATCAGCACAACAAAACGGGGACTGGAGCCTTGAACACTCAATCCATGTTGTGTCTATGTTGAAATGAATTTTAATAGCTGCAATTTCAACTTGTTTGATTGGATGATTCCAACTTCTATGTTCTATTCTGTTGTAACTTAGTTAAACCGGGGAACAATTATTAATGCTACAAGTAGACACTAACGACTGTTAACACCTCTGAAACAAATATGAACTGTCGCTACACATGCAACAAGATCTGAACATTGAAACTATAGTTACTGAACTTCAGGAGTGCTGATTGCTTTGCTTGCTGATATTAAAGAAAAGAGCAACATTCACAACTGGCAAAACTTCCATCACTGGAACTATTACAAACAGCAATAAATGTTAAAAACTGGTACTTTGAAAATGACCACTGGAACACTGGGGAAAAGTGCACACATACAGTATAAGGACTAAATTGATCGAGTAACAGGAGAAGAGAAGTGAAAAGGGGGGGAAAATCCATAGTCGCATTATGCAACCACATCCTCCAGAGTGCAGGCAAGCAGACCCTACAAAAAGTTTTTTCAAGCAGGTAACACCGGGACAATGGGGCCAAAGTTTTACAGTTCAACCGGTCAAAAGACTTTACAGCCCCCCCCCCATGGCTACTTGACAAGTGTGTGTGGTATAATCTGGTAATCTACTTACAGTGGGACAAGATGACACACCATTGCTGACAGACCTGCCATTCATGGGTCTTTTATGCTAGAGTGGGTAGTTACAACCACTTGTGTGGTAGGGTTTACTGTCAGGGGCTCAAACTCCAAATAGACAGCTTACAGCTTGGACCCCCTAGTTCATTCATCACATTATAGTTCTTGCTTTCCCTTACCACTGACAAAACTATTCTGGGCCAGAATTTTAAAAAGAAAAATTTTAAAAGAGAAGGACTGATTTTTAATGAAATCCAGAATAATGTCACTTTCTATGAAAAAATATTAATCTTTTCCATCAATCTTTACCAAGCTCACTGCTCTGTCGTAAATGCTCACAAGTCTAATGGAACATGTACATAAATGTACGTTTTAAGGGTTCTGAAATTATCGATTATTGATTATATTGCAAAAAAGCAATTTTTATCCTCAATTTTATGAGTATTAAGCATGATGCCTGCGCTGTAGAGTCTACACAAGGATGTACAGTAAAATGAACATCCTCATATTTAAATGAGGCAATGCGAACCAGCTAACCCGAGAACCAGTTGACCCGAGAAATAAACTGCACCAGACAAAGCTGGTGTTGGGCTTTTCGAATTGATACTTGAAGTTCCACACACGTGTCATGTGTGTAACTTAGTGGAACTTTACTGTCAAAGTAGTGCACCTCGGCCAGACGAAAGCTTAGCAAATTGGATATTATTAATTTACCAGAAGTGAGGCTCTCCTTGGACTGTACATGTACAGAGTACAACCTACACACGCTTCCATTAGAGGGAAGTGAAGTGAATAAGCCTTTTGCGAATTAAATTTGAATAAAATCTGGTACACTGAGTTCTTTAAATCCATGTGAACATAACAACTAGAATTCTCCATATTAAAACCACCGTTGCTATACCGCGTGATTCGGGGCAAGCTTTTGCTTAGTTACATAAGAGACGCCTTGCAACAATACACTGTTCTCAATGGATAAGAACGGCACAAAGGATCCAGTCCTTTCCAGAGATGGTGGTCGCTACGCAAAAGCTTGCCCCGAATCACGAGGTATAACAGCAGTGTCTTTAGTCTGGGGAATTCAAATTGTGACGTTTCTATGCAATCAAATAACACAGTGTACCAGATTTTATTCAAATTTAACTCGCAAGTGGCTTATTGATTATATCCTACTTAAGCAGCTCATACCGGCACTCTCTAAATTACACTTTTCACTCGGGCTATAAAACCTTGCTTATGCACAAACTGACAGAATAGCAAACTACTCACATGTGTTTTATAACTAAACTACATGTACATGTACAAGTACCAAATACGGTTTGCTTGCTAAATTTCATGCATTCACATGTTGAAAAAGACATTTCACTTCATAATCAATTAATCAATCGATGAGGAATTAATTCACTGTCAAGCATTTAAGCCATTTGTTCTCCCACGGTCAGAGAGACATTCATACAAGTACCTCCTGCTCGTTCCATCACACTGGTTCAGTTTCTTTCTATCCTGTCATCAACACCAGCACAGCAGGGCATCACAGGTGTAGTGCATTTGAGTCCAAAATAAATGCACAGATACATAAACATGAGTACGGTACGGTGAGTACGGTAGGGAACTATATCTTTGTGTTTTAAATGGGTAACAAGTGCTTGGACCCAAATCTTCACCCAGCTTTGTAAAGAAATACAGGCATTTGCAGAAGGACTCGGCCACTGAATCAGAGTCTGTGTCCTTTTGAAAACTATTAGACATTTCCTGTGATCCATTTCCCTAAATATCCTGATGCCAGTCAAAAAGTATTTCAGGCTTTGCTGTCACTGCATCAAGCTTCCATTTAGTTAAAAGTGTACAAGGTTGAAATGGACGATAGAAAAGGATTGACTTTAACTGGCAGTCCATGCGATGCACTTATTTTGCTCAGGGAAATCCCTTGAAAATGCAGTCTTTGTGTTCCAACTGCCCGGCTTATGGTACCTTTTTAGTTTACGTATTTCCATATTCATTGGCAAAACTGTGACATCATCAAAGAGAGAAAACCTAAGTTTTGCATGGATTTGTAGACATAAACTGATGGAAGTTTTGACATTTTGCTATCTTAAATATCCTTTTTTCTAATGATTTATTGTTAGGCAAGTATGTACACGTACCTGTATATACATATAGCAACAAGCTACATGTAACAAGTAGCCCTTTCAAAGATATGTTTACAACAAGCAAATTTAGTTTCACGATTTGAATGGAAAAATGTAAAAACTAAAGAGTGTATTCCCTCATTGACAACAGTAACCTCAGCTGTCTAGAAAATTTTAAGTTGCACAAAAAGGCCCTCAGAGAAAGGTTCATGGCATCATCCACGCTGACCCTTCCAGGACCTAGCAGGCATCTTAGACGGGGCAAATGCCGAAGAAAGGACCTTATCACACACTTTATGATGAGCACTTCCTCGAGCATCGACAAATCACACAGATAAAGCATTATTCAACCAGTCAACTGACAAGCAAATCTTTAACTTTGTCTCCGTTTATGACTCAAGTGGCCACAAATCCTGATCCACTATTCGCCAGTGCACTTTTTCTTTATCTTCACCGGATGTTTGGGCTCTAGATCCTCTAAGCCTTGCGGTGATTCAGACTATAATCCTAAAAAAAAAAAGAGGCAGGGAGACTGTGTCCAGACTTGTGCAGCCATAAGTGACCGAGGCTGTCTGCAGAGGGTCTGACTCATCTTCCAAATTTAAGCTCTTACCTCTGATCAAAGGATGGCAAACCACCCATTTGTCTGAACTGGAGGATTAAGGAGCTGAAAGATGTTGACCATTGAGGACAAAAAGGCCTACAATGGACACAGGCTGCAGCATTTACTGATCCAGTGCCTAAGGCCGTACAGGCCTTTAATCTTAGTGAGACAGTATATACAGTCTTTCTATATCCCCTGTAAATTGTTGGCAAAATGGAGGGACAATGTTTCATTATTGTGTAAACAGAGAACAATTACCCAGAACAACATCAACATAGATCCTAAAATAGACAAAGAGCAAATTCCTTACATTTGATTAAACCCATCTGTGGATCCATTGCAAGAGGGCAGAGTAACGGCCATGGCTCCCCAAATGAGACCATTGCTTTTCAAACATAATGAAAGGCATTTTCAGTTTTTGTTTCCTTTCCTTCCCAAAGCATGAAAAATTCCCCCAATTTAGACTCACCCCTAGAAAGGCCATAGAAGGATATCATAACAAATTCCCACATTCTCCCCCCCAGCACAAACCTAAAAGGTGCCTTCATGAACTGTACTTAAAACACATACTGCTGAGACTTTCTTTTGAAAATTGTTTCAAATGATGCACAACTACGGTAGGATGAGACCGTGTATGTACAACAAATTATAGACGAACATAAAACAGGAAGAAAAAATAAGGATTACTCTTGGAAGGGACCAGATTGGATAAATTAAAGATTTGTTACTAACTTTTACTCCATTTACAGCGGTTGTTCAGTCTTGTACTCGTACTTGTAATAGTTTGGAGATTTAACAATGGCACATGTACACTGTACATGACTTTGAATCTTCAGAGTGCATGTAACTTTGGAATTACACCAGCATCCCATAGTGAAAGGGATACGTTGGTACTTCTGTACCTCCCTCGCAAACACATGAGACCAGAAAGCGGTGAGAAAAAAGCCTCAGCAGTCCCTCATCTATTGACACACTCACTTGGGTGATACCCATGCACAGAGGCGTATCAATGACTGGGAACAAACAGGCCCCAAGTCAAATGCAGCTTGAATCGCAAAAGGCCAATTCCAGAAAGTACAGCGAGCGCTGTTCCGGTGTTTTTGGTGGTAATGTAATTAATGTGCAGCGTGTGCCTGCGCCAGACTGTCAACAACAACAATCGTATCCTAGCCTGTCTGACCAACTAGATGTCTGGACACACAAACCACAAACCATCCCCTCTTATCCCCTGACAGGAACCGCAACTATTCTGGGACTACTATTCTGGGACTAATAAATTCCTCAAGTCCAAATCAAACCCACCTGTAAACATCCACCTTTTTTTTCACAGGGAAAAGTTGAGTTGTCACTGTAATAGGTATGTTTATGACGGACGTGAATGAGACCACCTCACGAGACCCTAGGGCTTTTTTTTCCCTCCATTCTGATAAAGAACACACACTCTGGAAATGGAGACACTCCTTAACAAAAGTCTGGAGTCCGAGGGTTCCTTTGTAGCAGACCGAGGTGTTATTGTAAATAACCACACTTCCTGAGTGGTGGACTGTGAAAGGGTCAATGAGTCAAGAATACCAAAAGCAAACAGAGAGGTAATGAAAGGAATGGTGTGCATAACACTAACAGGAACACCCAGAGTTCACATTTCGTGGGTCCCAATATACATGTACAAGATACAGGAGTAACAGACAACGGTCTTCTTTTTTTCAAGATGTATTTTTGCGTTGGGGAGATGTTAATTTATATAACGGGTTTTGCTCTCACCCAACGTATGTATTAATAAACACTGTATGCTCAGTGCTTGTCCGAAAGCTTGCGAAAAAAGTCACAAGCTTACTCGGGTGGGACTCGAACCCATGACCTCCTGCTTATAATAGTTCGCTGTACCTGCTGCTTCACCTGACTCGGACCGGCCGGCCGACCCCGGCAAGCTCGGTGGTCAAGTGGTTAAGACGTCTGCACTAGTAAGCAGGAGGTCGTGGGTTCGAGTCCCACCCGAGTAACCTTGTGACTTTTTTCGCAAGCTTTCGGACAAGCACTGAGCATACAGTGTTTATTAATATATACGTTGGGTAAGGGCAAAATCCGTTATATAAGTCAACGGTCTGATTAGGAAACTACGACAAAGACTACATTGTCAGTTTGTCACTCTCTCTAAACTTCATTACTATTATGAAATATTCTTCGTTTTTAAGTTTGAAAAGAGTACCAAATGCACTTGAAGTCTGACACAATTTAGAGCAAATGCAGATCCATCACAACTATAACCACAGAGATCATAATTGTAATTACAATGAATTGGATAAGTTAGATTCTTAAGAGGATAATTGCACTGCATAGAGTGAGACCCACATCTGTCAGTGTGACACAAACACTGATGCCAAATTGATACAGCACCACACATCAATGAGGCGTTTGCCTTTCAAACGAGAATAACACTTCTTTGAAATACCGGTAATGCTTTGGAGTCTCAGAGGTCTCGCAGTGCATACATGGACTAGACAGACATACAATGTTTTGTTATTCAGACTGAATTCTTATGGGAAAGTCTGGTGAACTGCAAGGTCTAGTCAACCAAGGGTCACGAACCAGCAAGAACTTTTACAACCTGGATTCAATCCTTCTGTGTATTTCCAAATATTTACAAAGTGCCCCTGCCACTTACTGGTGAACTTTTTTCTTCATTCACAAATATTTACCAGATTCTTTGAAGGTTGTAAATTATGAATGACACCCGTTTCCGAAGCCCTGTCCCCCAACCTACACTGGTCCAAGGTTCATTCACTTCACCAAACATGGACTGCAGAAATTTAAGAGCCTTCCTCAATATAGTTTTACTCTTTTTTTACAGGTTTTTCAGAGGTAATCCCAGACATGGCCTGTTGGAAATTAATAAAGAGCTCTTAGGGAATACGCATAACCTTCTTGTGTGGAATCTATGCCAATGGGGCACCAGATTATATGGGTGAACGGAGGTGATAGGTCTACACAATGCATGCTTGCAGGGGGCTGAAGTTTGATGCCAGAATGCCATGGCCACAGATCATATCTTTGCTGCTGACTGTGCCAAGAACTGCATGCTGGCCAAGGCTGATATATAAATACGAACCGATGTTAACAGCGCTGAAAAGCACATGCATCCCACATCACTGCATAAATTTCGAACAAATGTAAGTCACAGAAAATTCGTAAAAAAGCTGCATTCATGCAATCAGATGTAGCAATACATACACATATGTAAGCATAAGTTTACGAGTTACTTCTGGAAGGGGGAAGAAGGGGCTTACATTTTATGTTCTGCAGATCTGAGTACACTTGGGAGGACGTACCGTTAACAGTACAAATTGGCTCCCCGTGATACACTGTGCTTCCACCACTTGGCATGTGCCAAGTGATATTACTGTTCTCTCAACATTCCTGCATCGTTGCACGGCCAACTACTCCACTTTTGGAGAGCATGCAACTAAAAGTAAGTTTTTTTTTATTGGGTATGACTGATATTTTCCACCTGGTAGACACCAACAGTCACAGAGTTTTGAAGGAGGCACCCTAAAACACATGGAAAAGCTCACTTCTGAACTTTCTGTACCATTTCAAGTTTTTAGACATTACTGACCCTGAAGGAAAAAAAAAAGAAGTTCCCTGCACTGCAGACCCTGAAAAGTATGACTACAATACAGAATGGCGAAAATGGAGGGAATACCAGGAAATAAAAGGAGACACAACTTTGCAATTTCTTATCTAACACAGGAAAAACAATATGACTATTGTTAGAAATGCATGGTTTTGGTTGTTTTTCTTCCACCCCCCCTCTTTCTTTTATCAAAAGAGAGATTCTGACTCCTTATCCCTGTACTGACCTTATCCAACTAGTGGCTACCTGACACGGAAAAAAGTGAAAATGACTGGGTCCATATGCCAATAAATATCTCAAGTAAGCTTCATTATGAAAATAATTAATGCCAGTATGGTATAGCCATTAGACTAGGTGCTAGATTTGGCAATTAATGGTGAAATTTGAAGAGCAGGTGCCCAGCTGGGCCTTTTTAATTTGAACCAGATCACCCAGGCTACCCGGAGGGGCTCGGTTCAACTTTTGCTCAGTCAACATTTCAGGGCAAGCCCCAATTCAGGTCATTGACACTCAGGGTCCAGAAAAGCGCCAACAAGTTACATGTATATTGTACCATGACCTGATAGTAAACATACATGTACATACAGAAAATAAAGTCAATTCAGGAGTTTAGTTTCCATGTCACAGTTGAAAATCTCAACACAAAAGGCACTTTTCAGGACCAACTAAATTATCCACATTTTCTTTCTTTGTTCAACTCTTTGTTCTTCCTAACACTGTAGCATTTTTGTTCGACTGAAATGAAACTTTAAGGCATTTATGTCATTTACTGAGAACTAGCCCACTTTTATGGGTGCTAAGCCTACATGATTGCACCACACGATCAAGCAGCATGTCTTAAGTATTACATGAGGTAAAGTGCCTCTAATTTAGCACTTAGAGAATCTTAAAATGTCCACCTAACAGTAAAACACAAAGTGTGTATCGGCTTTTCCAAGAGAAAATAATACAAAGTAACACCGGCAGTGAGACAGGAGGACCCTGGGGATTAGAGCTCACAAACCGCAGAGAACAGAAATGGATCAGAAGGATTTGGAGGTTAATTACCGGTAAAGCCGTAACATAAGGAGGTGATGGTAGAAGAACTGTTGCCATCAACAGCGCTGCTACAGTTAAGAGCAAGGTGGATTCCAGACTGGACCTGATTAAAAAAAAACCAAAAAAATAAAATCAAATGAATAGTTTTAAATCAATCACCATCAATGTATGAAGGATTTGGGATTTAGATTGGTGGAATAAATTTTCAATTTCAACACTGGCATAAATCTAATTTTCTAAAGCTTGCAGACCTGTCTCTTTCACTGAGGGTAACACAGGTGGGAGACCAGGCCTTGAACTGTGTAGGGGACAGAAAGGAAAGCTAGTTTAAAACTAGTCAAGGTGTGGATGACTGGCAGACACTCGAAAGCACCAAGACAAGGCTGAGAGTGATAACAATTGTTTCTCAGTGACTCATGGTTAGGTTCAGCTGAGGTAATTCCTACTTGGCTGGTAGGCATGCTCCTAATTGCCCACTCAATGCTACACCCAGGGGGCTTTGGGAAAAAAAATGGGCTACAGGGTCTCATGATAAGATAAGAACTCTGAGACATTTTGGAAACAGAAACTGCCCTCTAATATAAGACGGAGTAGAGGGTTCACACTTTATTGATTTTCCACATGACCACAAACACTGGCTTTTGAAAATGGGATGATTCAGCTGGTGGAATTCACAGGGGTTGTTGCTTCAGCCTTATACACCCGAAGATCGCCCGGTTTCACGGTTTCGGTTCAGGAGCAAGACTCCGGAGATCGCGGTCTGAGGCACATGGTATTAATATCATTCTTGATAGCATCAGTGCTTTACTGCTCCAGCCCAAACATGGATGTGGAAGCCCGCTCTTGGAAGGCAAGGCATGTCTTCCTCAGCCCAGCGCTAAAGGGCACCTTGCAGGGAAATCTTTCTGGCACTGCTCATGGGATTATTTCAAGACAAATTACGTCCTCTGAAAGTTTGCCATCATTTCCAGCCAAGCTCGAGAGGCCAAAAATTTAAAAACAGAGATGTCTTAGGAGGGCAACGACAAAGTGACGGATGTACCGTAGGTACTTGCAGGGTGTGTAGGCACACACATGCAGTGAGACATACCTGAACACTACCCATATTATAAACACACAGTGTCATTTCTGTGAAAATCATTCACATGGTGAAAAGGCTAGATTTTGAGAAAATGGTGCACATTCATGAATTTAAATCTGCTAGTTTTGAAATTACAGCAAATGTAAAATCTAATCATTATCAGCTTAAACTTGTAAGGGAGGGGTTGCTGAAATCAAATAAAACCAGTTCTGGGTAGCCCAGTGTAAGCCTTGATACACAAATGGGCTGACAGAAATAAAGTATTGGACCTAAAATTTTCGCCATAGGAGTTTCTTCAGGTAGCACTAGCATATAGCCAGGCATTACTCAACACCCTCTGCATATTAAAACTCTATGAGACTGGCCTAGAAAATTCCAAGTTTTTTCAAGTATTAAATGATCAACAGTTTCCCTGCTGAAATTTACTTCTAGGGCATGATGTGACTTTCTTATGGCTGATATTTAACTACAACGAAAAGAATTAGTGATGTGTGTGGAATTCTTCCTTAGTTTCTTGGATTTTGGAATACCATGTGGGCCTAAATAGAATTTGAATTTCCTTTTACGAATTGCATTGTACATGTATCATTATATCACATGCATTTGAAACTGTAAGTATTTGTTCAAATTTTTTACATGCAAATTATACTTACGTTGAGTTCATGAAAACCTTGCCACATAAAATAAGAGAAGAGTGTCATCTAACATTTGTTAGCTGTGTCCACACTTTTGGTTTCGAGAACACTGTAGTTGATAGTTACCCACTAATTCGTGAAGTGTTTTCCAATCCCAATTAGTTTTTTTTTTTCAAATACTGTATACTTGTATTACTAGCAACTGAACAATGCTAGACGGCCAGTTAATACTGGGGTTCACGATTGGGCAGGTTTCAAAGTAATACACATTAGACTAAAACATTTTAATATTTTATGAGTTTAAATTTTTAGCGCTTTTACGAGGAAAGGGGTTTGGGTGCCTGGGGGGGCCTGTATGGTCTAATACACAGGAGTCTTTCTAGTAACTACATCACCGCTAGTCTGCGGTGCAAATTCTGAGATGAGGGAGGTAGGAAAACAGTCATAACCATTCTGACAGTCTGAACTACACGCTGAAAAGGCTGGCATTTCAAACACGCACCCAGAATATATCCAGGTGATATCGGCGTCGGTCAAGTGTCACTGTCAGTTCAAACCAGCACCAAGCGCAGAGCAAGGAACAGAATGACAAGACTCCTAAACTTATAATAGCATCTTTGTGACTTTTAACTCACACAATTTTGAAAATACATATGTAGGCTATCTAGGATTTGCCTTGGGTAAAAGAAAAAATCCTGCCTCCTTAGGCCTAGAACTACAGGCGCTAGGCGACGGTACCTGAAACGTGAAACCACGATGGTGAAACCATGGAGGAATTATTCCAAATGAAAAATTAAACCAAATGAAATCGCTTTAAAGCCTGGTGAAGATCTCGACCTTTGTCTTTTAAAACTACACACCAAAAACATACTGCAATGCCTACCTCATCCTGAGAAGTCGAGCAGCATGCACGATGCAGTCGATTCCGTCCTCAGATTAGTATAAACGTCAAACCACCAGCCAAAGGATGCAGAACTCATCTAGCACCAGTACACGTGCCAACTGATTGCCGCGCCGGTAGTAGACTGATGCCCGGGCACGCTGCTCAGACTAGAGATATTGATGCGAAATTATGAATGGATCACGTGCCCAGATTCAAACTACACGCCCACATAAGTGAGCCGCACGTCGAGTTTCGCGTTCCGCACGTAATTGGAGGAGGCCTGGGCATCCAGTTTAGTTGGGCGCGCAGTGTAGCGTAAAGAAACGAATACAAGAACGACAGGGAGGTGGAGCTATGCAAAGTTGGTTGAGTCACCGAACTTTTCATCCAATCAGCGGCCATTTGAGGACACTGGCCGGATCTCAGTGCCGGCATGTAGCAGAGGTAGGCCAAACAGCAGTTCTCGTAAAGTGAGGTCCTGACCACACTGGGTCTTGACTCTTTTGGACGTATCAAGATTGACCACACCTACCAAGAACAGCGCAAAAACAGGAGATGGTCGCAGTAACGTAAAGCTGCAAACAGCAGATTTCCAAAGCTTTACCACCTGTGCTAGCTAGAAATTGTTTCAGTTGGTTTCAAGTTTAAATCTCATTTTCCCCATGTGCGAGACTTCTGCAAAAAACAGAGTGGCCAAGCCATTACGTTACCTTGAGAGGAGGATATTTTGATTCTTTTAAAAATAAAAGTCGCATAAAAACCCTTCCCAAGCAGTCTCAAAATATCTCCGTTCATGATTACGAATTTAATTAAATGAAAAAGATACAAAAGCAAATAGGCGCCCCATCAATCCAAGGATGGAAGTGGTGAAATTATATTAGATAAATCAAGAAGCAGAACTGATTTAAAAGTTGAGGATCATAAATAGCTGTTTTCACCCATCTGTGAAATTTCAAGACAGGATATTTCAGTTTGCTTCCTTTGACTGTTACTTATTTATATTTAGAAAATGTATTCACCAGGCCAGTGTTGTAGGTGAGACCACCTAAGACCTTCTTGAGACCAGCGCAAGACCAACACAAGACCTCCAGTCTGAATTCAAGTCACAACCTATTCAAATGAAGTGCAACAAAAGCCCTGCTTTGTCATTGTTCACCGTTACTTGTGACTGGTCTTGTGATGGTCTCGACAGCAACACTGCACCAAGCAATCATGCGGTAAAACGCCTCTTGCAAGCTGTTTTTTTTTTATTACCAGTCACACAGTTGGGACACCCTAGACGCCCTGCAGACATATGCCAAGTGCAGAGGAACTTTTTTCTAACCGAGTACACCTTATAGAGGGCGCTATTTAGTCTGCTCGGTCTCGAGATCTCCGGCCGAGTGCGCAGCAGTGGTGGCAGACCACCTCTCAAATCCAGCCGAAGATCGTGACGTTGCAATCCTAGAACCATTGTAAGCCTTGCAAACGGGTAAGGTTCAGAGACCCTTCTGCCCCTACCTGCTTATCGTTACGGTTCAGTGTACTTCCACTCACTCCAGTAATCAGTGCCAGTGACCTAAAAATCCACAAGTTGGAGCCAAACTCATTTTCAACAACTACACTGTTAACTTAAATTCCGGTTCCATCAATTAGAATTTAAATGATAAAATCAAACTGCAAAAAGGCTTATTTGCGACTCATTTTTAAATGTAATTTCTGGGAGTAATTAAATCAGCGCAAACGGACAATGGGAATCATAGAAATGCCAAATTATAGCTCAAGGCCGAGAAATCGACGGGCGTGTTACTGGTGAAACAAAGATGAGAGAGGATAACCAACAACGATGACACTAGGGGAAGGATACAATTTCTCCAATGCTGGAATGTTGAGGAGTCTTCATACAAAAAAATCAGCTTTTGTCACTTTTCGAGTTGTTTCAATGTTAACAATGAAAAGAGCTCTTACATATATACATGTGCACAAATTTTTTCTTCGTTTTTATTAATTTTATTTCAGTCGTAATTGACATTCACTCCCAATTGTAACAACAAATTTTATTTGCAGCTGTTTGGGAATATTTGAAAAAGCTTCCAAGCCCAGCTGTTTAAAACGTACTGCACCTTGTCAGCGATTCTGCTCTGACATTGTCAGAAGAAGCACTTAACCAAGACAGAGTTCCAGTTACCACTCGTCAAAATCAGTTTGATCATGATTACTTGTCTTTCATATCTAACATACATTAATAGTAGAAAGACGGCTAATAAGATACATACATGTAATGAATTCATTTAAACGGCACAGGAGTGGCCTGCAGCATTCAAATAATAACAATAAAATGAAAAACCTAAAAGGCGTGAATGCCTATCAAGTGCGAAATGAAATAGGTGCAATTTAGGAAAACTCAAAGAAAAACTTCAAAGGCCTGCGAGGTGTTTTTCCACCACAAATGGACTTCATAAATTTCCCATTAAACCTCACACAAGCTGTGAAAAGGGCAAGCCCATTACCTGCATTCAGCGACACTGCTTCAGAAACTGACAAGTCTTTGAAAAAAGAATGTCTCTTTGTGTCTTTCTCTTTCAGGTTTTGATACTCATGAAAGTGAGTGAAAAATGCACAGTATGTCACCTATAAATTGCAAGGGCCATTTGTCTGGTTATACATAGAGACCTAATCCTTTTGGAGACTACATTATCTTCATTTCAACCTGTTTGATTTCTGCAAAATTATAAACATTTCAGCTTGCCCATAAAATATGTCATTATAACAAAAACTCTTCTTGCTGCAATTTTCCCCTTGTTTGGAAGTGGTTTCCATAAATTGGACAGACTTATTTACTCTTTCAACTAGTATAGAAACTTATCTAGCCGACAGAGAGGCGGTTATTTGAGCATGTTGATAGATGTAGGTATGTTATGACCTGAATTAAAAACAAAATAATTTCATGCTGGCACCACAAGCGAAACAAAGAAGGCAATCAATTAAGAAACAAAACAGAAAATAAGGCCAAGTTTTGAGTAGGGTGCCAAAATTTCCTGAAAACCTCTCTGGATAGCCTCTTAAAAATGTGATCGTCGCTATGAATTGCAATACTGAAACAGATGGCAGAGTAGAATTGTGGTCGTTAATTTTGTGCGTTCAAATGAATAGGGCACAAGTGAATTTACAATACAATGAATAAAATATTTTGCAAAGGATCTATTCACACAATTCGCTAATAACTCATTTGAAACCAATTATGGCTTTGATTACAAAAAAACCTTTCTAGTCACACGGTGTCACGCTATCTTCCCCGGCTTCCAGATAAGAGAAGGCTGTCTCCACGTGATCAAGAACAAGTCTCAGCAAAGATTTAATATTACCACTGTGGCTCCGCAATATGGCTGGATGTCAAACATCCATGTAACCTGACCACTGATTGTTTTTTCAATTGAGCTGTGGGACTACGGCAATATATCTTCATTAATGATCCCACTTTGATATGTTCAAATTGCCCATTTGCTGGAATTTCTGCTTGGTAAAAAAAGTGGGCGTTAGAAGCAGTTGCAAACAGTGAATAGACTGGTTAAAAACAATGGCTAAAAACCTGAATATTTCTGATTTCCTGAAGGCATGGGATATTTATAACCAAAGCACTGGATCCATGAATGCTGTTGGTTCTAAGGTTGAGTTAAATATGAAATATGTATTTCAATCTTGAAAGTTGAATAAAAATACAGAAAACTTTTCAGGGGAAACACACACAAAACAAAACTAAGATACATGTATACAAAACTCTAGATCAGGATTTTGGGACCAAGACTGGCTAAAGTCCAGGAATTTCCTGGAGAGCATTCCAAAGAAAGGTTTGAACCCTAGGATCAATGGAAGCCACAGCATTGTGTACTCGAGTTCATTTCTGGCTGATCCTCACATGGTTCTTGACAATGACCTCCACGATGGAGGGGTCCGCCAGCGTGGACACATCTCCCAGTTCATCGCTCTGGTTGGCACACACCTTGCGCAGGATGCGACGCATGATCTTCCCGGATCGTGTTTTTGGAAGGCCTGGGGTGATCTGATAGGAGGGATAAGAATATCCCAGTGACATCGATGAATGATGAGTAACATTAGGGGTATAAAAGTGTTATAAGGTGATTTAAACCAGTACACTTAAAACCACTTAAGGGCTTCAAGATGATTATGGACCAAGCCAAATCCTAAATGCCTTTTTGGGAGAAACAGACAAAATTCATATTTTTCCAACACTTTTGGTCATCAACTTTAACCTCAGGATTAGTGAAGCACCCCTCTAGCCATATCTTTGGTTTGTGTCTCAGTGCGCAGTACAAAGCTCTCCTCGTAGGGAAATGAATAATAATTAAGATATGGAATGGGTTTAGCTGTGAAGCGTTAGGGTTGCCACCAGGGATGTCAATCCCAGCTGAAATGGTTCTTACTAGCCTCGCTCTTCTTTGCCGGTGATATGGTGCTTCGGCTCAGAGCAGAGAGCTGTGAGATCCCGGTGTTGGATGACAAGCTAGGGGGTTATTTCTGACTCTAAAACATGTTTGGGACGTTGAGACACTGCAGCTAGCCACCAAGGATCCAGTGCCGGCACTCACACACAGCTCCACAGGTCACCCAGAACACACCTGTATCAAATCTGGCACGGCGTAGGCAGCTATCTTCTGTCTCACCGCCTGCTTCAGTTCCTTAATGATGTCTTCCTCTGACTCGCTGACTCCCTCCTTGAGAATGATGTAGGCGTATATGCCTGAAAGAGAACAAAACCACAATCAAGTTCCAATGCTTCCTTTCTGTCCAAAATAAGCACCCGATATACATGTTCCCAGCCTGTGGGTCTCCTGTACCCTTGGCCACCTTCCCCCACGCTCCCCTCCTTCACACTGACACATCCCATTGATCTGCTAGCATCCCGTGTTCTGCTCGAAAGCCTTTGGTTGGATCCTGAGTTAGCATCTTCTTCACACCTCAAAACCTCCAGATAAGCCGCTTTAGCATTTGAACCTCTGCAGTCCTCCTGACGACGGGGAGAGCACATTGTCCGAAACATGGAGTACCCTCCAGTTCTTTTCAGAACCACACGTACTCAAAAAAGGGATATCCTTGCATGGAGCTGCTGCAAACCTCTACAACTGACGGTCAATATACTGTAATACATTCAGAGATATATCCCTTTGAACTGTCTGTACAGCAAGTACACAAATTTCCAAATTAGAGCACAGCGCACTGCTCTCCACAAGGATCCACTGGGTGTGCTAAATTTCCTTGAGCACAAGTATTCACTTTGTCGAAACACATGAGAGAAAAGTCCCAAACATGTATAACTTAAGTTCAAACTAGGAACCAACAGCTGCGCTTAAATCAGAATTACACCTAACAGCGCTGGCAATTTTCTGGAAACAGCAAAGTATCGTTATGATCAAAGTAGCATGCACTGCAAACCGCCAAAACGGCTCTGAAATGTAAGACAAAAAGGTTCTCTAACCACTCCAAAATGGTATTACTTCACAACAATCCAGCCGAAAATATGATACAACTTTTAGCCCAAAAAACTTAACTTTAAAAACAACAAACTGGGACCACTTTTTTAAAACAATAAGCGGGACACCACAAATGCTGGTTCATTAGAGTCATTTGTACAAGATTTTTAACATCATTCTGTTTGTGATATCATCTTTTCTATCCTCCAAAGAGATGACGACCAGGGAAGTCTGCCAACACCAGCTGGCTGAGCCACAGGGCCAAGTCAGGGTACCACACTGTCTACTTCCATGAATTGGTCAGACCCTCCGTATGTGTAGAGATTATACAGCCCTCTTGTGCTCCCGGCAGGGAAGATCCCTGCAGGTTTACGCGTCCTCCAGCATAAAGTGGCTAAAAATGCCAAGATCAATGCCCGTGCGCATTTACGGCCCTTAAGATTGTCTGGGATTTGTGCCTCACCTTCTCCTTTGATGTCATGGGGGAAACCAACCACTGCTGTCTCTGCTACAGCTGGGTGTTCATCCTGTAATGGGGGAATGTACTGTGTGTTAAAAGAACCTGTGAATGGTTGGCAAATTTGGAGCTTTCAGACTTTCAGCACGTCGTCATGACAGGCACCTAGTGTTAAAAAAAAGCACTACACGAAAATATGACATTTGACATTTCTTCATTCCGTAGAAGTGTGTCACTAGATACACTAGTACCCAGTCTGGATTTGTACAATGCCTTCTGTCTTGACCTGAGCCATGAAACTCGACTAAAGTCTTACTGGTCACAATTAGCTAGTGATAATCCATGGGGAAACTTACCATAGCGTCCTCAATCTCTGCAGTTCCTATGCGATGACCACTGACATTAATGACATCATCCATGCGACCGGTAATATGGTAATGGCCGCGCCTATCACGATGGGCCCCGTCACCACTGAAATAGACACCTGAAGAACCCAAATCACAAACAACAACATGAAACTAGCGAAGATGCTCTCTAGTCTGATCAAGAAGTGTAATTTCCCACAACTGGATCAGCACTCATATGACCAATGTTGCTATCCCTGTGAGGACCAGAGAACCAACACAGGTCCACGTAATGTAGGTGGTGTGGACCTTGTGTGGACTCTGCCAAGTCCACACAAGGTTTATCCGTCTCTGAAAAAAGTGTTTTAGTGGCATTTTGCAGTTTTGAAATATGTGAAGCGGAATAGAGAGGATCAGTCCAACCAAGCAACCAAGCAAGCAACCAAGCAAGCAACCAAGCAACCAAGCAAGCAACCAAGCAAGCAAGCAACCAAGCAAGCAACCAACCAAGCAACCAAGCAAGCAAGCAACCAAGCAACCAAG